TACTACTACTACTACTACGACGACTACTACTACTACGACTACTACTACTACTTACTCCTACTGGCGGTACGACTACTACTACGGCTACTACTACGACTACTACGACTACTGCTACGACTGTTACTACTGGTGCAATTACTACGGCGATGACTAATACGAATACTACGGCGACGACAACTACTACTACTACCACTACTACTACTACTACTACTACTACTACTACTACTATTACTACTACTGCTACGACTACTCTACTTCAGTACTGCTCTTACTATTACTGCTACTACTACTGCGACTACTACTACTATTTTTTCTGCTACTACTACGACCCCCAGTACGACTCATATTTCTACTACTACCACTACTACTACTACTATTACTACTACTACTACTACTACTACTACTACTATTGCTACTACTACTACTACTACTACTCTTACCAGGGGGTACTACCACGAGTACGACTACTACGATTACGATTGCTACGACTACTACGACAACTTCCACTACTACTACTACTGATACTACTACTGCTACTCTCCTACTCCTACTACTACTATTACTACCCCTACTACGATTATTACTACTACGACTACTATTTCTACTACTACTACTACTACCACTACTACTACGACGACTGCTACTACGACTACTACTCCGACTGCTACTACGACTACTGCGACCACTTTTATTGTTATTACTAGTACTACTGCGACTTCTACTACTATCATTTCTACTACTAGTACGACTACGACTACTACTATTGCAACTACTAGCACTACTACTTCTCCTTTTTTACTGTCACGACGACGACTACGACTCTTTCTAATAGTACGACTAAGTCTACGATCGCTGCTACTACAATTATTGCCACTACGACAACCACGCCTACTACCACGACTATTACTATTACTATTACTACGACTGCTACTTCTACTGCTACTACTACTACTACTACGACCACTACTACTACTACTACTACTACTACTACTACTTCTACTACTACTACTACTACTACTACTACGACTACTACTACTGCTACAACCACTACTACTACTCCTACTACTGCGACTAGTACTGCTACTACTACTACAACTAGAACTACTGCAACTACGCTTACTACTACGACGACTACTGCTTTACGGTTTTACTACCACGACGACTACTACTACTACTACTGCCATCACTGCTACTACTATTACTACTACTACTACTACTACTACTACGACTACGACTACTACAATTACGACTACCACTACTACTGCAACTACTACGGGTACTACTACTACTACTACGGCTACTACTGCTGCTACCACTACTACTGCAACAACTATTACGACCACTACTACTACTACGATTACTACTACTACCTCTATTGTTGTTACTACTACTGCTACGACTACTAGTGCTAGGACTACTACTACTATTACTACTTCTACTACGACTACTACTACTACTACTATTACTACTATTACTACTGCTCCTACTACTACTACTACTACTACTACTACTACTACTACTACTATTTCGACTACTCCTACTCCTACTCCGACTACTACTACTCCAACGGCTACGACTATTACTACGACTACTACGACAGCTGCCACGACTACGATTATTCCCGCTGCTGCTACGACTACGACTAGGATTGCTACGACACTCGTTCTACGAATTTGACTACTGCTACTACTACGGCTATTATTTCCAGAACGCTTACTACTACTACTACTACTACTACTACTACTACTACTACTACTACGACTACTACTACTACTACTACTACTACTACTACTACTACTACGAATCATAATACTACTAATAATACTACTACTACTACTACTACTACTACTACTATTACTACTACTACTACGACTACGACTACTACTACTACTACTACTACTACTACTACAACTACTACTACTACTACTACCACTACTACGACTACTACTACTACTACGGCTACGACTACAACTAGTACCATTACTATCTCTACAACTCCTACTACGACGACGACGGCTACTATTAATACCGCTACTACTCTACTACTACTACTACTACTACTACTACTACTACTACTACTAGTACGAGGACTACTACTACTACTTCTAATACTACTACTACTACTACTACTACTACTACTACTACTACTACTACTACTACCTTCTACTACTTTTTCACTACGACCAGCATCATCACGACGTCTACTACTACTACTACTATTACTACGTTTACTACTACTACTACTACTACTACTACTACTACTACTGCTACTACTACTACTACTACTTCTACTGCTACTACTGCTACTACTACTACCACTAATGACTACTACTACTACTACTACTACTACTACTACTACTACTACTACTACTATTACGACTACGATTACTACTACTGCTACAACCACTACTACTATTCCTACTACTGCGACTAGTACTGCTACTACTACTACAACTAGAACTACTGCGACTACGCTTACTACTACGACGACTACTGCTTTACGGTTTCACTACCACGACGACTACTACTACTGCCATCATTGCTACTACTGCTACTGCTACTACTACCACTAATGACTACTGCTAATGACTACTACTGCTACTACTACTACCACTACTTCTACTACTACTACTGCTACTACTACCACGACTACTACGACCACCACGATTGTTATTACTACTACTACTACTACTACTACTACTACTACTACTACTACTACTACTGCTACTACTACTACTACTACTACTACTACTACTACGACTGCGACTACTACTACTACTGCTACTGCTACTAGTATCTACTACTGCTACTACTCATCACGGCCATCATAAGCAGCATCGTCCTCCACTTCCTCAGCATCTCCAACCTCATTGTCATCGTCATCCTCATTAATATCAGCATCATCAGCAGCATCATCATCGCGTTCGTCATTTTCATCATCGTCATCATCATCCGTATCATCAGCTTCATCTTCCCATCACCATCATCGCCCCCACCACCAGCATCGTCATCAACAACAACTACAACAAGATCGGTACAATCGTCGTTTTCCCCATCGTCATCATCATCAGTGGCATCAGCATCAGCATCATCATCGTCATCCTCATCGTCATCATCCGCTTCATCCGATTCTCTTTCGCCATCGTCATCGGCGTCGTCAGCATCATCACCATTAGTATCCTCATCATCATTGCCTCGTCATTACCATCGCCATTATCATCGTCGTCCCCATCACCACTTTCATCATTCAAAAGATCACCAGGCCCCGCTTTGAAGCACCCTGTGGGCACCATGCCCCCGAGCAACGTTCGAGAGTTTAGCTCTCTGCGACGGGCCTAGGCTTTCCTACTCGACATAACCGATGATATCCTCTGCTGGGCTCTGACGTCGAGGAAATACCTAATCAGCAGCAGCAGAAACACCAGCAGGAGCAGCAGCGGTCGAGCGCGTGGGCGGCAGGAGCCCCATGCACCGAGTGCCCCCTGGAGCCGAGAGAAAAGATAACGCCCATGGGACCCAGGCGCCTTACAATGTTTTCACACCTGGCGTTCTCGCGCGTATTCTACAATGTGTTCACACATGGCGTTCTCGCGCGTATTCAGGCCCCAGGACCATCGCATATCGATACTGCTCAAAAAAATAAGAAAGTGAGGTCCAGGATTCTGGTAGTGATTTTTGTCCATGGTGCAATTCTGTGCAACTTCTGGTCTGAGGGATTGCGGGCGTTTTTTTGTCGCTTCTGGCCTCCAGGGGTCCTCAACGTCTTGGATGGAAATCCAGTCTTGGGGAATGGGTCGAGACCTCCAGGGGTCCGTGTTGTGAAGAAACATGACGTCGGAGGTATTCAGACGAAGCCATGACGAGGACCAAGTCGGACGAGGGTAATTCGAGAATCTCTGAGATGCGGCGGCTCTGGAGGATGTCTCGGGCGCCGCGGCCTTCTCAGAGCGTTTCGGAACGTTCTGAGAGCGCTCCGGAACGCCCTGGAAGGGAGTTGTCCTCGTCTCAGCTCGGCCACGCGCAGAAAGGGGCAGGGGGAGGGGGGAAGGCTTCTTAGAAGCACCCCTGCTCCTTAGAAGGCGCGGGCCTTCTTTGCAGATGTAGGGCCGGCGCCTTCTAAGAAGCAGGGTGCTTCTAAGAAGCCTTCCCCCCTCCCCCGAACCCCTTTGTGCGCGCCGCCAACTCGTCCCGTCCGAGGTATGGGAGGATGGACAGTCGGGACAGCGCGGTTCCCCTTGGCGGTGCCCGTCCATTTTGGATCTTCCAGAGGCGTCCCGTCGCCGCGACCGCATCCGCCTCGAAGCACGGGCCAGGATGCCTTGGGGGCCTCTCTTGAGGCTCTCGTGCGTGATCGTGGGGCCGTCTTGAAGCTTCAGAAGCCCATCAGTCGCGAAAAGGCGAGAAGACAGAGGTAATCGAAGACCAACGTGTTTGGTTTTATATGATGTTGGCATGTTGGGAGAGCTTGCAGCCCCTGGTGCCGCCGTGGGGGCATGTCCTCTCGGAGGCACGTTGGACGACACCTTCGTCCAACTTGGACTGTTTGCGCAATGGTGGATTATCTCGGACCTTCCTGAAGTCATCCTGTGACCACACGGAATCACTGACCGCTCGGTTCCCCCCCGCTCCAGACCCAGCGGAAGGGGGGCACAAAAACCCTTCCCCGACGGAGAAGGTGGGGTTTGGAAGAGCTGACCCGCTAAACCACCCAGGGATCATGAAGCCTGCACGCCTGCTCTGGTACACTGGTGGCGCTCTGTCCGGGCTCTGTTGCTCACCGATCTATTTGTCTGGTCTGCCTGCTTTCTACCCCTCACCGCCTTCTCCAACACCTCCTCCGACTGCTGCGTGGCCATTTTGGCGGAAGGGTCACACGCCCGACAGCTCTTCTGGCCGGCCAGCCATGGAGCAGCCGCTCTTGGCCGGGCAGCGGCTCGAGGAGGGCGGCAGCGCTGCTGCTCTGACCCGCGGCGAAGAGCCTGGCGCGCGGGCCGACGCGAAGGTGGCGGTGGACCTGCCCGTCTACTCCAGCGGCGCCATCGGCAAGCTTGCGGCCTCTCTGGCGGAGGGCGTCCGCCGACACGATCCGTGGCTGCGGCCCGGGTACGTGCAGAGCTTGGCCGACCGGCGTGGCTTCCGGACCCGGCTGCTCCCAGCACCAGGGCCCCCTAAGCGGGAATGTTCTGATGAACCAGGACATCGGCGCTCTTAAGAGGAATGCAGCCGTGCGTGTTTGTGGGGGGGACCAAAGGGCACCGATACCGCTATTCCCTGGACCTCTCCCGGGGCGCGTTCTGAACAGGATTTCGTGGCGAATGCAGCGGTGGCGACGAGGGCTTCTCAGGAGGCCCAAGAGGGGGAAATCGGGCGAAGGGCAGTATGGGTACCTCTTCCTCTTCCGAATGTGCCTGTGTTGGTGCAGAAGCTGGGCGACGGCTGGCAACCCCGTGGCTGCCAACAAACGGAGCTCCGGAAAATTGTTCTTCTTCTTCTTCCGGGATGCAGACCGTTTACTCTTTGGTGCGCTGAGCTCGATTCCGGGAATGTGGTTTTCCTTCGGGGAAGACCGCTTCAGCAGCCACGGATTTGCCAGCCCTCGCCCAGCTGGCCATGTGTGTCGAAGCATGCTCCGCTCTTCGGTGTCTTCTTTGCCCGGGCAGGCGCAGGAGGCGACGGGGCAGCTCTCCGCACGCCCAGGGTGGCCACAGTCCAGGTCAGATGCACCGGAGAACTCGTTTGGCCTCCCATCGGGTGAAGTCGGGCCCTCCACAGGAATAATATTCAAAAATAGTCTGGAAATACTCTGGATCCGAGTTTTTGATTGTTTGTTGGCCCATGTTGTATATTGTTTTAACTGCTTGTATTTGTCGTCCAAAATCCGTTCGTAGGGGGACACGCCCGACCTAACCATCGGGTCGGGGGCAACGATAGGGGGGAATAGGCATAGGGGGACGCATCGACCACCAAGGGCCCATTGATCGCCGATAGGGGCCCGATAGCCCCAACCTGCACAGGATCGTGCGGACGCACTATCGGGGGCCAATCGCCGATCTATCCGCGATGCATCGTCGATTCCAGGTCGATGTCTCCCCCCTTTGCCAATCCCCCCGTACCATTGCCCCTCACAGGAAGAGCTCACACGGTTCCCCGATCAGGAAACGATCCTCACCCTTGCGAGTTGGGTGGAGGCCTCTCACAAGTCCGCTGCAAGACAGCCTCGGCGTGTCCGTCGCAGGTTCAGAGCACACGGGGTACTGGTCAGCAGCGTCCTGGCGTAGGGGGCCCCGGCCAGCGGTGGCCGTGTCGCTGTTGATGGGCAGCGTGGCGCGCGAGGGCAGCGTGGCGGCGGCGCTGCTCGGCGTCTGGACGGCGGTGGCCTGCCTCCTGGGAGCCGCCGCGGCGCCCATGGTGCTGGGCACCGCGTGCACGCGGCTGCAGGACCTCGCGGTCCTGCTCGCCGCCGTCCTGCACACGCGGCATGCGGCCGCCTCCGCCGCGGTTCCAGGCCCGCCTACGGAGCACCTGGCGATGTTCTGGACCGTCGCCATGCCGCTGGCCGGCACCGGCTGCGGAGTGGTTCTCTGCTACGCGCTCCTCGTGCTGACGCTGCAGCTCCTTGCCGGCGAGGCCGCCGTCGAAGCTGGGTACTTGGCCGCGGCGCTGCTGCTCGCTGCGCCCGTGGTCGCGCTCGAAAACCAGACCGCGGAGCTCTGGGACCGCCTGCAGCGCGGCCAGGCCGGGCTTCAGCGCCTGCTGGAGAATGCGGGTGGCACGCACTGCGTGGTGGACGTGTCTACCGGGAGCCTCGTGTCGTGCAGCGAGGACTTCCGGCTGATCTTCGGCGTGCCCGCCGAGCAAGGCCAGAGCATCGTGGACCTCGCGACCTCCACGCAAGACCAGGACGGGCTGCGCCAGCTCCTGCGGACTTCCCGCCTGGCGGCCCGCACCTCCCGCTTGGAGTCCTGCTTCGTGGCGTCGCTGCGCGCGGCGGGCGCCGCGAGCGGGGCCGCGGCGCGCCTGGTGCCGTACGACCTGTCCGGCGGCCGCTTGTACCTCCTCGTGCAGGTGCAGGCTCAAGTCGGGCTTGTCCATCTACAGGGGGAATATTCAAAAATAGTCCAGAAATAGTCCGGGGACGATTGTTTGACCATTTCGGGCTATGCTTGCGCATTTGCTTGTATTCCCTATTTTTCGTCCCAACTCTGCCTGTAGGAGGACACGCCCGACCGAAGTGCAGGCCGGGGAGGGCCTGGGCAAGCGCGTGTGGGCCCGGGAGCAGGCAGTGGCGGAGCGCGAGGCGAGGTGCGCGGTGCTGGAGCAGGCCCTCGCCGCGCGCGACGCGCGCGCGGGCGAGCTGGAGAACGCCCTGGGGGAGATGCACGCGCTCTACGAGCAGGGCCGCAGGGCAGCCACGGCCAGTCCGCCTTCCCCGCAGGCGCGGCGAGGTGCCCGCGCTTCCTCCGGGAGGCCGCGCTGCTTCCAGATCCCCGCGCTGGCCGTGAGCAGCCCGCAGAGCGGTGCCAGCTTCGCCTCGTCGGTCTCCTCGACCTCCGATCCACGTCATCGGGGGATGCCAACTTCTGCACCAACGCCGGCCCGGGCCCCAGGCCTGGCCGGCCCCGGCCTGGCCAGTCCGAGCCCAGGATCAGTGTATGCGCCCTCCTGGCCAAGCGCGGAGGGCGTGCACGCCGATCCCAGGCCCAGGATGGGTCTGGTCAGGACCGGTGCTGTCGGCTATACGCGCAAGAGATGCCCGGTTTGGGGGGTTGGCGCGGGGGGTCAGGTGGGGGGTGGAGGCGGAGGAGGAGGAAGGGAGGAAGGGAGGAATGGAGAAATGGAGGAATGGGGGAATGAGGGAATAGAGGAATGGAGGGATGGAGGGATGGAGGGATGGAGGGATGGAGGGATGGAGGAATAGAGGAATGGAGAGATGGATGGAGGGATGGAGGGATAGAGGTATGGAGGGATGGAGGAATGGAGGAATGGAGGAATGGAGGAGGAGGAGGAGGAGGAGGAGGAGGAGGAGGAGGAGCAGGAGGAGCAGGAGGAGCAGGAGGAGCAGGAGCAGGAGGAGCAGGAGGAGGAGGAGGAGGCAGGCCCGAGCTCGCAGGCCGCCGCTGTCGCACCGCACGCAGCGATCGGCCCGCCGCGCGCCGCAGGCCAGCCCGTGCTTTGGGGCCTCTCCCCTGCGCGCAGCCGGCGTTGGCGTACGAGCTGGAGCCCTCCTGGCAGCAGGCGGCGGGGGGCGCCCCCCCCCCGCAGGCGCCCTGCCGGCGAGACCGCGCAGGCGCCGGCGGGCCTCCCTCCCCCGAACCCCCTCGAGGCGCGTCGGGGCCCAGGCTCCCGACGTCATGAGCCGCTCATGGCGTCGACCCCTAGAGGTCTGGGCCCACTCCGCGGGAATGGTCTCTCATCCAGAATCGTGGTGTGGCGGCGCAGAGAACAGCGAAAACCTCCCGGTGTGATTTGTTCATGGCTCGAGGGGGTCTGGGGACCCACAGGTCCGATGTCTCGGTGTTTGTCAATGCGGGGTCCCTGAAAGTCTCGACCTGTTCCCCAGGACCGGGTTTTCGGCCCGAGTTGTATTTTGACGGCCCCAGGGCCTGGCGAGGGCCCCATATAGAGGCCGAAAATTGCGAAAGACCACCGTGCTGATTTTTCCAATGCGCTGGGTATCTGGGTACGTCTCCCCGAGAGGAGGCAGGATTTCTCAGAGGGCCTTACGAGGAGCCTCTGCGGCTCCAGAGACGTCGAGCATGGGATCGACTGCATAATTGATCTACCCCAGAACTGGTTATTCGGTCGAATCCACGGAAAATGCGCGTCTGTTCCCATGGACTCGACGGAAAAATCAGGCTTGGAGCAGGTCGATGTTGCAGTCGATCCCCTGCTCGGCGAAGGCTCGCGCAGCGGCTCAGACGGCCGGAGGCCTCCCGAGCCTCCTGAGCAGGCCGTGCCCCTTTACCCGGAGGAGGGGGAGGAGGAGGAGGAGGAGGAGGAGGAGGAGGAGGAGGA